AGGTCTGTGGCTCTGGGCCCTGATGCTCCCACAGCAGCTGGAACACGAGGCTCTTTGGAGGCCTGCCCTCCTAAGCCGGCTTCGGTCAGATAAACAGTCCTGGGAGCCAGCGGCCACATCCTAATGACTGCAAACATCTGCATCCAGGGGATTCCCAGGGGCGCTGAGTCAGAACAGGACACAAGCCTGGTGGCAGGGAAGCTACTGTCGGGCAAAGCCCAGAAGCCTTGCTGATAAGCAGCCGGGGAGTTCCAACCCCCAGGCAGCGGCCTGGCAGACGAGACTCCTGCTCTGCCAACAGAGGAGAGGTGCTGGGGACAGGCGAGGCCATGAGAGGGAATTCAGAGAAGCCGGAAACCCCCCAAACTCCCAGGACTAGCAGGACTGGGACAGAGAAGTACGGGCTGAAGGAGACAGCGCTGAAAGCGGGTGGGCAGGTAGGAGGAAGGGGAGGTGGGTGAAGCATGGATCAGAGGCTGTTCCAAACTATTAACTTACGCCAGAAATGTGTAGATACCATAAAAATATGAACACTGACCCAGGTGGCCATACTTCCAGACCACTCATGTTCTAGAAACGCAGTTTTCTTCCAACTGGGAGCGACTTGCACCATCTCTCATCAGACCACTGGGCAGTGCTTGTTTCTTTGGACTGGGTTTTGTTTGCTTTTGCTCCCCTAGTACAGTATTAAAATTACCATAATGTGTCCCGGTCTTTGTGAAAATAGCTTTACAACAACTGGCAGACAGGAAAGGTGGCATCTCTCCCAAATTTGCTAATAAGTCCTGTGTATGATTCCATTTGCTTAAGGAGATGGCTGAAGAAACCCATTCTCTTTCAAGCCACCAGAGGTAAACTGTCTTCCTGATGCTATAAAGAAACTGTCTATAAATTGAATCATCTGTGTGAAGTTGCAGTGTGATGTCATATAACTGCTGAAAAGGGCCACCTTGCCTTTTCTTCATGGGGTCAAAATTCCTCTCTAATTTCAACTGGAACCACGATTTTTTCTTTCTTCAAACAGAACTAAAGGTTTTAGGCAAACATGTGTGACGCTGTGAAACAGTGGTATGAACAATGTGACTACCCACCTGGTTTAATTCCTTTTTCCTGCTCGCATCTCTTCAGATTTTCCACTGTTGACTAATCAGTGTGGAAATTCTAAGGAACCAGAATAAAAAATAAAAAAAATTAGAGCCAGTTAAACTCCAAGGTTGGGAACTGAAACAATATTTGGGGAAGACAAGTTAACAATATCTGTGAACACATTAAATGGGCACACCCTTTGGGTCAAAAATCTAGGAGTTTATACTATAGATAGGTTCACAAGAGTAAAAGGGTGTTCAGTAAAACACATTGTATAATAGTGAAACAAAAGGGGAAACAAATGTCTGTCAATAGGGAAAGAGTTAAATTACGGTGTATCAATATAACGGGAAACCATACAGCCATTACAAAGAAGGAAGATTTCCTTCTACTGACACCAAAAGATGTACATGCTCTATTGTTAAAAACTAGTGTAAGACAGTATATGTTACTGCTTTTTAATAAAAATATGAACATGATTGTTGATGCTTAGAAAAGAAGTACAGCATTTGTGTACCTACACTTTTTTTTTGTTTTTTGTATCTGCATAGAAAAAGGTGAACAGCAAACTCTCAACAGTGGCTCTCCTGAGACTCAGAAACAGGGGCAGGGGAGGGGGGGAGAGGAATGAAACACTTTCATTTTTTTACATTAACTATTTCTGTCTTGGTTGAAAACTTTTAAAGAGGCATGCATGCATACCTGTCATAATCATTATATATGTTGTCTATCTAAAATTCTAACGTATCAAGAGTGAGGGCAAAAGACATTTCCAGACAAAGGCTGAGCGAGTTTACCACTCAGACGCCAGGAACCTTTTCCAACAGAAAGGAAAGTGAACACAGAAAATAAGTGAGATTTTTGAATCAACAGTGAGCAAAGAAATTTGTAAGTATGTTGGTAAATTTAAAGAAGTACTGATTGAGTAAAAGAAAGCTAATGGGGAGACAAAAACAAATTTGACAATATTTGACAGTATTACATATTTTGTAGTAATAACACTGAGGATGGGAGAGAGAGCACAGTTAAAACTTCTTAAGGCTCTTGATTATTCAGGACAAACTCAGAAATAATGTTTTACTTTAGATAAAACATCCGTGATACATATTGAAATTTTAAAGGTAAAAAACAACAAAATATAGAAATAGAATGCCTATGTTCCAAACCAGTTAGCATGCTCCTGGGTAAAAAAGTATCCAAAAATGTCTTCCCAAATTACTATGTAATTTTAATTAAATTTCAGTAAGAATATTAACAGTTTTCTTGGAGGGGGGATGGATAAAAATTACCTTAAAGTTCACAAATATCCAAGAAAATTAGCCAAGAAATAGTAAAGAAAATTATAAAACAAATATTTAAGGGATCTGTCTTAGGCGATAATACAAATTTACTGTAAAGACATTACAATAAAAAGATATGGTATTTACATATGAACAGACAGAAAGGTGTGTGAACCAGAAGAGCATGTCCAGGAATGGATACAATAAAGGACCTTATTTATGACGAGGATGGGATTTCAATGCAAAATAGAAGAGACGGCTTCTAAACGGTACTGGCCTATCCAGAACAAAGCTTGACTACCTTTCACTGTGCATAAACATAAATTCCAAAGAGACTGAAGGTTCCGGATTAGATTAAAACCATACAAGTATTAGAAGAACATCCAGGAAAGTATATAATTTTGAGGTGGAGAAATTAATTCTTAAACAAGGCCAATAATCCAGGCACAATGCAGAGAAAAAGAACAGACATTTTGCAATAAAAAATTTAAAGATTTCTATAAATTTAATAGAAAAATTAATAAACAGGTAATAGATTAGGAAAACATATGCAACACATATGGAGTCCTTGATATGTAAATACATAAACAGCTCCTACAACTTGTTGGGGAAAAGGCAAACAACTCCTAAGAAAAATGGGCGAAGGAAACTCACAGAAGAGGAAAATGAAATGGCCAATTAACATGAAACAATGTTCAATCTCACAGCAGTAAGGAGTATATACAAGGTAAATAGCTATGAAACACTATTTCCTCCCATCAGCTTGGTCACAAGATAAAACAATAGAGGTGGAGGGAGGGAGAGTGAGAGGGAATCTTTACTAATATCGAATATTAGTAAAGATTTACAGAAATGGAAGTGCTCATATATTGCTGGGGAGAATGTAAATCATGAAGTCTTTGTAAAGTAGGATGGTTTTATCTATTAAAATGTTAAATACACAGGCCCTTGACCCAGCAATACTATTTTTGAAAATGTAATATATAAAAATAAAAGCACCAGTAGAGGATATGTACGTGAAGATCTTTAATGCAACAATATTTCTAATAGAAAATTAAAAAAAAACCAACAGGTAACACCTTGAGTATCTGTCAAAGGTGAACTGGCTGAATATACTGTGGTACCTCGAGATCTATAGCCCTGAAGCTAATTAAAAGAACTAGATTTATACCTAGTTACACACTACCCACTTATTATATAGGATAGTTACTATACTTATTGTCACTTTCTTTTTTGGTTAAAATGGAACAAATTAAAAAAAAAATCTTCACGGAGGGAAAAAAGGTGCATTTGATGTCAGCATTTATGCTTTTTTATTTAAAAGGGGGGGGGAATCTTTACCTAAAAAAAAAAAAAAAAAGAAAAGAAAAAAGAATTTTCCCCTTTAAAATCCAAAAGCAAGCCTAAAGCTTTGGCTAGAAGCTACCCTGTGTAGGAGGTATGTGGGCCAGCTCTGTGCTGCTGACTGTTTTCGTGGCTTGGTGCCCTTGGTTGCCTTCCTCCCCTAAACCCAATTAAATACACTCCTGGGGGTGGACTGTCTGCTGGGAACCAAAGCCTCGCAAAGCAAACCACAGCATCTCTGCTCGCAAGGCTCTCTTGGTCTCCAAGCAGATGCTTTGCTTCTGTATCAGATGGGTTCTGGAATCTAGAGAAGTGGAATGGACTGTTTTGCAGACTGTTTTTGATGGAAGGAGGAAGGAAAGGAAATGGTTTGGCCCAGTGGGTGAAATAAAAGAGGAACAGAATTACAACAAGCTGCTCAAGAAGAGAGCTACCTAGGCTGAGTCTGCCATTTCAGTCATCTGGAAGTGTATACTCTGCCTTCCCCTCGTGGAATGCTCTGCTTTTAACTTTTGTTACTTTATTTCATTGATAATAAATATTTCATTGAAATAAGGATACCTCACATTTCTACAGCACTTCACATTTTACGAAGCACTTTAAAATATCTTATTTGATCTTCACAATGACCCTGGGATCAGGTAAGTATCATTCCCACTTACAGATGAAAATGAGGCCCAGAGATGTTAAGGATCTTTTTAGGTCACACAGCAAGTCGATAACAGAGCTATAAGACAAACTTAGCTCTCCAAACCCCAAGTCCAGTAGGGAGCTCAGGTTTGAAATCACAGAAAGGGGAACTACAAGCAAACCAATGAATAAAAACAGGCTCTTAAGGGAAAAAGATTCTTTCTGCCCCTCAGAAAAAAATTCTATGAGTAATATTCTATGCCACCTCAGAGAGAACCCTGGCTAATATGCTGGAATACAGTGGCTGAATAAGGGGGGGAAAAAAACCCCTGCATCACCCCTAATTCTCTTAACCTTCTCCTACCCTTAACCTTCACCCGTTTCTCTCTTCCCTTTCCTTCTATGCTTTAGCCACATTGGCCTCTTTCGGTTTCTCCAACATTCCACATGCTTTCCTGCGGTGGGCCCTCTCACATGTGTACCTCTCTCTACCTGGATTACTCTTTCTCGCTCCACAGCACCCCTCTCCCCCTAGCCTCCCGCCTTAGGTCTTCACATAACTGACTCCTCATCTCGGTTTGAACACCATGTCTTCCAGCCAGCCTGCCCTGACATCACTCTCATCTGTCACTCACCCTGTTTATTTCATAACACCACTGCTTGTCCTCATAAGCTTCATGTGAGGAAGGGCCAGGCCTGCTTTATGTAACACTGTCCACTGGGCAGGTATTAGGTGTTCAATAAATACTGGCTGAATACATGAAAACTTATTGAAGGCTTGTCTCAAATGCTGTTGACCCTCCACTTTCTCAGGCATATATAGCACTGTCCCTCTCTAGGGGCACATAACATGTGTTAGAGTTATCTGAGTCTTGTTTTCCTATCAGACTGCTAGCTATGTGTAGGTCTTACCTACCTGGGCAGCCCCGGAGCACACTGCATAATGCCTAACACACAGAAGGTTCTGAAGGTGGATGAACTCGTGTATACAGACAGGAAAGTACCAACAAAGGCTGCAGCCTCTAACCAGCCATGGGAGTGGTTTCTCCTACCCAGGGGCCTGCAGCCCAGAATGCGAGCACCTCTGAGATATGCAAACAGACTCTGCCCAGGGAGAAATTAAAATTAGAACTGTGGACGGGAAAGGGGCCACTTGTTAAACCTGACACGTTCAGGAGACTGAAAACAGCCACATAGGATGGCGTGAACATAAAAATTCCTAACTAAGGTGGGCCATGGCGGGAAATCACATCTTTGGCTTGTAGGTTCCTTGGCAAAGGTCAGTCTTCACCTTCAGTGAGCCTCTCTGTTGTCTTTTTGCATCTAAGATATTGTAACATACCCTTGGAATGTAAGAGTAATCCCTTTCTGGACCCCCCAGGGGCACAACCCACCACACCAGGACAGGAATCTATAAAATCCCTCATTGTTATCTTGTTCCCCCAATACTATCTCTATGTGCTGTAAAATGCTATGAACTATCCTGTACCCACCAATGTGAAAGTGTGTCTCTCCATTTTACTTTTTATCCAATCCCAGAGATTTCCCCGCTTTACTTTCTCCCACCCCCTTAATCTACAATCAACGGATTTCATGTAACCCTCCTCCTTTGATTCTTATGTATAAAATAAGTTGCAAAACGACCATTTTCCAGAGCATTTTCTCAATCCGTTGAGACTTTGCTTCCCAGCAATTGTCCTCAGTTTGGCTCAAATAAAGTCTTATAAGTTTTCTCTTAGGCTGGATGTCTTGAAATGCAGATGGTAGTGTGTGGGAGAGAGGATGGCGGTGGGGGCCACAAGCATGCTTATATGGGCAGGA